ATTCCCAGGCGCGCCCAGGCGGGGCCTTCAGACCAGCAGGATCCAAAAGCCAAAGGGATGGGGGACACACCGCCCTCGGCAGGACGCAGCGCCGCAGACCCCGCGCTCCCCACGCGGGGACACGCGGCCGTCTGTGCACAGGCCCGCGTGCACGCACGCCTGCCACGAGAGGCAGGGGCAAGCCTCCAGGTTAAAAGGCCTCGCACCTAGCCCCCACCTCCCTGCCCACCTCTGAACTGCGAGGCCGCAGGAGACAGGGCACACCAGCGAGAGAGGGGACGGGACTCCCCGCGCTCAGTCACCCCCAGCTGGGCCTCGGAGCCAGGCCCAGGGCCCCCCAACCTCTGCAGCCCCCGAGGGGTCACGGGGCCCCGCAGAGGGGGAGTGGCAGCCTCACAGGGACAGGGCGACGGGGCCCCAGAGACCACGGTCTCTCAGGCGCCCACACACATGCACCGCCCGCAGGACGGAGCCCCGTTTCACTCAGTGAGACAGCCAGCCCCCCGCACCTTCTGCCGCCAGGCCCTGCCGCCGAGAGGTGCACATCTAGCGCACCCCAGTGCTGGGCGGTCCCCCAGGCGGGAGCCGACTGGCCTCGGGCAGAAGCCCCTGGCCCTTGGGGACGAACCCATCAGAGCCCTGGCGCAGAGTAAGAGCTGTGGCCCCCATCCCCAAAGGGGCCCCGCCTCCTCCGGGGCCTGGTCACGCCTCTGTCGGGCCCCTGCCGACCGTCTGCTGAGCCTGGGGTGGGGGGCACGGGGCACTGGGAATCAAGAGTCCAGAGCTGGCGGGGCCACCACTGGTGGGTCCTCCTCCAGGGGAGGCGGCCGCCGCGGGGACGGGGCTCCTGGAGACACAGTCGGGGGAAGGGGTTTTGATTCAGGCCTCCCCCCTCCCCGCCCTCCCACCCCCAGCCTCTGTAGCTGCAGGACTGGAAGCAGGTGAGACGCAGCAGCCGCTCCCAGGCTGAAGGGCTGCGCTTCCTCCAACCGCAAACCTGACTCAGGCCAGCCAACCTCCTGCCACCGCCCCTCAGACGGCGGGCAGAGCCCGGAGAGGGCAGCGGGGACCCCGGTCCATCCCCGCTGCAGCCGCTCGGGCGGCCGGGCCTGGAGCCCAACCCACACGCTGGCTCCTCCAGGGCAAGAGCGAGTGGGGCTGCTGACCGACAAGACAGCGAGCCGGCGGGGAGGCCCTGCACCGAGGATCTCCGGGGGGGCGGGCCTGCGGCTGACGCTGGGGAGCTGGGGCACCATTAGCTTAACCAGCAGCTCCCGCAGGATCAGCTGGGCTGGCGGAGCGGGGCCCGGGAGCCCAGTCCCCGGCGACACCTGGCGAGGAAGAGGAGCCCAGAAGCCCGAGGGGGCGCACACCGGGAAGGCCAGCCAGGGGAAGCCCACCACACCCGGCCCCCCTGGTGGCCCACAGCTGGGCAGAGGCTCAAGCCGCCCACATGTAGCTGGCTCCCCGGCAGCTCTGAGCCCCCTGCCCCGGACGCCCGAGACCACCATCCGGCCACCCCTCCAGGCACCGAGGCAGGGGGCAGCCCTTGGTCCCGGGGCCGGGCGAGCGACCCTCCGCTCCGGCCTCAGCCACCCCCACATCCACGCAGGGACCCCCCTTCCCCCCAGACCCCAAGACCACATCTCTTCCCAGGCGCTGATTCTGGAGCAGGAAGACCAGGCCTGCCCAGCCCGCCCATGGGGGACACTTGACGGCCCCCCACAACGGGCCCTGCCGCGCTGGTCCCAGGCAGGCCGCAGGCCTCGCGCTGCCCGAGGGGGCTCAGGCTGGAGGGAGGTCCTCATCCTCATCCCGGGAGCCCACCATGGGGCGGCTATGCCGCTGACACCAGGGGTAATGAGTTCCAGATGGGCCGGGTCGGGGGTGGGGACAGCCTGCTGAGGAAGCCCGACGGCCTGAGATAACGGGGAATTCTGAGCCCTGGCCAAGCCCCTGAGCCCGGCGGGCAGCCAGCCCTACAGAGGAGCCCCTCCGCCCGCCCCGTGCACGCGGGTGTGCGCGCGGGTGTGCGCGCGGGACCACCCAGGCGGTGCCGGCTCTGGAGACCCCCCGCCCCCCCGGCACCACGGACCCTCCCCGGCCGCCGCCTCCCGGGGCCTGGCACCTCGCAGCCTCAGTCTCCCTGCGAGACCGGGCACCACACGGCCCCCGAGGCCCGGCCTGAGAGACGCTGACCAGTGCCAGCCCGCTGGCCCCCCTGGAGAGGAAGGGGTGCGAGAAGCAGGCAGCAGACGGATCAGACAAAACCCCAGACATCAAGACTCAGGATCCTAGAGGTCGCTCACCTGGCCCCTGACCCGCCACCTCCAGGCCACCTTCAGGCTCACGCAGAGCGTCCAGCTTCACCAAGGCCGGGCGTTTGTGTGCGCCTCCCCCGCCAGATAAGCCCCCCACCCACCCCCGGCATGGGACCGCTCCTCCAGCGTGGGCCTGGCCCAGGCAGGATAGGTGGGGGGCCCTGTGAACGTCGCAGCGAGGTCTGCCCCAAGCACCTTCCCTTCCGTCCACGCAGCCTGCTGAGCCGTCCCCAAGCCCGCCCCAGCCCCTCGGGCCCCTCCCAGGGAGCACCAACAGCAGGTGTGGAACGGGCTCACCAGCGCCGCCCCAGGCCCTCTGAGGGTCGGCAGGGCCCGCGTCACACTGTGTCCCCCACGGCAGAGTCCCCGGCAAGGGGCAGAGGGCCCAGCCACGCTCAGCACAGTGCCCACCGTCCACACGGGGCCAGTGCGAGGCCCACAGAGGGGCCAGGATGCCCGGCCTCACCCTGGGGCCAACACACCGGCCAAAGCCTGTCCTCGGAAACGGGGTCGGCCCACGGCCTGAGCGTGCCCAGGGCCGAGGGCCCACGTGGCCGTCACCCTCCCAGGTGCCCCTGCTCCGGGGGCTGTCGGCCAGGCACCAGCAGGCTCCCGTGTGTGGCCGAGTGCCCCGCCCTGTCTTTACAGCTGGGGTCCCTGAAAGGACCCTGGGAGACGACACGCGCCACGGGGGGCTTTCCTGAGGCCTGCGTGCAGCTGGCTCAGTCATCGGGGCCTCCGTCTCTGCACCCCGACTCTGGCTACATGGCCCACCCGACGGTCACAGCCTTTACCGCGGGGGCGGACGGCACAGCCCTCTGCACTCTCAGCCTCCTCACGTGTAAGGGGAGGGGGCAGAAGGGGGGAAGGGATCGGAGAGCCTCGTCTGTAACATCCACAACCTGGGGCGGTGAGTCCGGAGCCTGCGTCCCCGCCCCGCCAGGACACACGGGTTCCCGCCCCACAGCGTCCGCGCCTGGGTCTGGGACAAGTGAGCAAGACGCTGTGGGCCTCGGAAACTCAGCTCAGCTCGAGATTTACGGGGAAAGACCGTCATGCCTTCCAGGTAGAAAAATCTAGAAAGTGGGAGGGAGGGGGCCTGGGGGAGGAGGGGCAGAGAAGACCCAGCGTGGCCGGGGAGAGCCCGGCAACCACCCCCGCCTTGCCGCCTGCCCCTGTTCCGGGGATGTGCTGTTCTCTCCTCAGGCCGTCAAGTTCTCAGGAAAGGCTTCTCCCCCTAAACTGCTAAAGTAAGTGGAAGTGACAGCGTCACCGCCCGAGGTTTCCGCTAAGGGCGGCATGACTGTGTTTACCCAAAACGCACACCACCTGCGTCTGCCCGAAAGCCGGGGCCCTGCCCACCCCCGCATCTGCTGGCAGTGGGCGTCGCCCTGGACCAGGTGGCCAGGGGCCCCCAGGACCCGGCGTTCTCAGGCCTCCAAGGGCTGGGCCGAGGCGGACGGGGCTGCCGCCGAGTCAGCTGAGTGGCGTTGTCGTTCAGTCGGGTGGTCGTGTCCAACTCTGCAGCCCCGCGGACTGCAGCCCGCCAGACTCCTCTGTCCAAGGGATTTCCCGGGCAGGAACACTGGGGTGGGCTGCCATTCTGCTCTCCAGGGCGTCTCCCTAAACCAGGGGTCGAACCCGCGCCTCCGGCATGGCAGAAGGGCTCTTTCCCGCTGAGCCCCCAGGGAAGGCCCCTGGCCGAGCAGAACCGTGCCTGGCGCGGCCCAGGACACAGGCTGCCAGCGGTGTGGTCACGGCCGCCTCGCCACAGGACCCTCCGTCCACGCACACCGTCCGCGTCTTCCTGGACACAGCGCCAGCGAGTCACAGACGCCAGACCGCAGGCACAGGCGCCCCCGCAGGGCGACGGCCGACCAGCACCAGCAGGGCGGCCGCGGGGCCCACCCCAGGGCCACTGGGGCCGGCGCTTAGATGGGAAACCAGTGGGCTGTGAAACTGGCTGATCGCCTAGGTGGACACCTTCCACCTCTCCCCTCGGCCGGGAGGAGGGTGGGCAGACGAGGCTGGAGTCTCCTGGGCCCGCCGCCTGTCTCCGGGGGGAGGGGCCCCTCTGAGGTCACCCTGCCGCCCCCAGGCTGTGCGGGGGCGGGGGCAGCGAGGTCCTGCTGCCCGTTCGCCCGCGGCCACCGCTCACAGGGCATCCCTCCCCCAGGCGGCTCCCCACCCGCAGTCAGAGCCCTGCAGGAAACAAGCGCCTGTCCCCGACCTGCCGCGGGGGACGGGGTGGGGTGCCAGCTCTGCAGCGCCCCCACACCCCGTCCTCCCCTAAGGACGGCTCCCAGCCATGGACACCTCGGACCCCCGGAACACGGTGTGGGAGCCAGGCTGCGGCGGGGGGCAGGGCTGCCGGCGGAGGAGAAGACCACCCCCCCACCTCCCGCTTGGAACCCAGGTGCCAGCCACAGCCACTCCAGAGACAAGAGGCTCAACACAGGCGCTGAGGCTGACCCCGGAGACCGCCGATCTCTCCTGCTCGGAGGCGACTCGCGTGACCCCAGGCCCAGCCCGGCACCTGGGCTACTGCAGGGCCCCCACCACCACCCGCCACCCCAGGGATGAAAGGTGGCTCTCAGCGCACCTGCCGAGGCCAGCGCCAGCTGGCGCTGGGCGCACCCTGGGGACAAGCCCAGCCGGGCAGGGCCGGGGAAGGCGGGGATGCCCCTGCACGAGTCAAACCAGGAGGAAGCCCGAGGCACTCGGGCTGGGAGCTCGCTCTGGAACCTTCCGCCTCCACCTGTCCATGTGGGCAGACGACGGATCAACTGTGAGCGCCCACAGGCCTGCTCCCAAACCAGGAACCTCCGCCGTGCCCCAGATTTTAACCAGCTCCATCAGGCACTTGCTCAGCAATTCAGTTTAGTCGCTCAGTAGTGTCTGGCTCTTTGCGACCCCAAGGACCGCAGCACACCGGGCAGGACGCAGGTTACAGCACTGAAAGCTCATCACCGACAGATGGAGGCATGATGCGGCGGGCGCCCAAGCTCCTGGTAAATTGAGTGCGCTAGAAGCATCTCATCCCTGTGGCCTCCTGGCCACAGCTGTCCCACCCCCGCCGGGGCGGACTCGGGCTGGGGAGAGTGAGGGGCGGTGGGTGGCCATGCAGGGAGGGACCCCAGGGCCAGACGCCACGGGCCAGGCCCTGAAACGCGCCTCGGCACACAGGGGCCTGCAGCCCAGTGGTTCGTGGGCCCGGGCAGTGCCGGGGCCAGCCTGGGGGCAGCCACCCCACCTCGAGGGAGGCCTGCATTTTCCGAACCATGTCACTGAGCTCTCCAAATTCCCTCCTGGCTCCAAGACCAGGTGCCAGGTCCAGAGAAAGCTCCAGAAGTAATTAGTCGAACGAATTAGCAACATGGTCACTACGTTACCCTGATGAGTCAGATGGCAAGGCATGTGGGAAAGTCAAGTCCAACACCGCAAGGCCACTGGCTCCCATCAGATAAAACCCCAGCAGAGTCCAGACGAGGCACTAGCCACGGCAGGCTCGAAGGGAGTCAGGCCTTCCAAGACCCCACAGAGGCGTCTCCCTGACCCCAGACCACAGCCAGCGTGGGGCTCACCTGGGGCTCTGACAGCCCCTGGAGACGGGCCGGACTCCCAGCCTGCAACCCGTCCCCCAGACACCCAATAGCACAGCTCAGAGCCCACCTCAGTGCCATGTGACCACTGTCCCCCCAGGTCCCAGGTCTTGGCCAGGCCAGAGGGCAGCCCCCTACACCCAGGATCCCCAGACCTTGGATGGGGCTATTGCTTCCAGGTGCTGACCAGAACTCCCCCGCCCCGGGTGGTCCCAGATCCCAGGCTGCCCCCCAGACAAGGCAGCCCTGTGACCGAAGCACCTCTCGTCTGCAGGACTGAGACAGACCACTCGGTGGGCTTGAGAGTGGCTCAGACCAGGGGCCCGGGGCGGGTGCTGTACCACGTGGTCCCCACCGCCAGGCCTCTGGGGAAGGAAACAGACGCAAGGATGCAAACTTGAACTTGGGACTTCTGCAAGGCCACAGGGCCGAGCCGGGCTCACAGTCACAGCACGGTCCCGTGACCAGCGGGCAGGGAGGGGAAGGAACAGCTGCTTCCTGCCAACTCCGCCCGGGCCCGACGACAGGGAGTCTGCAGCCTGTCACCGGCTCAGGCAGCGGCCGGATGCCGACCCCGCGCCCCAGGGCCTGGGCAGGCCACCAAGTGGCTCTCAGCCCGGCCCAGGAACCCCGGGCCCCCCCAGGCAGGACAACGAAAGCAAAGGAGCTTTGGGTCAGAGCCGGGGGCTCGAAGCGGCCGTGGGAACGCCAGCCCAGGCAGCGGGGCTGAAGGCCACAGCACGCCAACCCGCCAGGCACCCGGCCCCCCCAGCCCCACCGCCGGGTCTGGCTCCTTGCCCCTCTCCAGCCCGGGATCCCGGGGTCCCCAGACCCTTCACCCTGACCCCTGGTGGGGGCAACAGGGCGTCTCGGGAGTGTGAGCCCCTTCCCTTCGCAGGCCAGGCCCACCAGAGCCCCAGGCTGCCCCCAGACAGCCAGCCGGAGGCAGCCCACGAGGGAAGCGGACGGGACGTGGGCTGGAGTCCCCAGGGCAGGCGCAAGACCTCCGGAGCCTCGGCAGTGTGTTTGGACGGGTGGACGCGGAGGAGGGACCACCTGCTTCCCGCCCCCACGAGGGCCCACCGTGGCCGGTCCCGCCCCCGGCCACATGTACCTGCCCCCCGGTAGGGATCCGGCCACAAATGCTGACTGGGTTTATTATTATTTACTTATAGCAGAGAGGGCGAGGGGTCTGTCTCAACCAGTCCTCAGGAAAATTCAAACCCAGGCGCACTGAGGGGGGTGGGAGGGCCAGGGGAGGGACCACCCTCTCCGGCGGCAGGAGCACCAGGGAGCCAAGAGGGACGAGGGGGAGGGGAGCGAAGCCCGAGGAGAAAGGCGCCCGGGGAGGGCGGGCCGCCCCGCACGGCCACTCAGCCGGGTGCCGCTGAACTCTGACCGTGAGGCGCCCTCCCAACACGAAGCCCACGGTACCCCGCCACAGGAGACCACCAAAGCCGCCGGCCCTGCAGCCCTCCCAGGCTCTGAACGGCCTCAGGCACCCACCGCCGGGCTTCAGTTTCCGCAGGGGCCAAGGGGAACGGCCGCTTCCAAGTCCAGTTCCAAGACCCCCTCGCTCGGGAGGGCCGGGGACCCCCAGTCCGGCCCCAGCATAAACGCCGCGGCCTCCCTTCCTGTCCCAGTGATGGACAGGGGCACCCCCGCCACCCCCCGGTCTCCGCTGTTGACCCTGCGTCCTCCTAGCCTCACCTGGAGCCTCTCCTTCAGCAGGGGGTGTCCACACGCCCTCTGCACCCAAGCTGCACCCGCTGAAGCGCAAGCCGCCCGGCCATCCCGCCATGGCCCCCGGGGCTCTCCCGCACCCCTTATTTCCTTGCGGCTTCCTGGGCGCCGAGGGATCCTGGGGCCACCTCCTGAGCCCACACAGTGAACAGTGAGAGGCAGGGCTCCTGGTCCTCTGCCCACGTGCCCAACACACTCACACGAAGACCAGGCTCAGAACTGCCGACACGTCCAAGGCCAGCCCGCGGCCTCGCAGACACCCCAGCCCCGGCCCCCCGGCTCCATCCTGCAGACAGCAGGGCAGGGCAGGGAGACTCAGGGCAACAGCAGCAAACAGCACCCGCAAGGCCGGGTCCTGCAGAATTCTCTGCCTCTGGACCCCGCCGACTCCTGTGTGTGACATGGCCAGGGCGCCCAGGAGCTCGAGTCAGGCCCCACAGAGCCCTCTGGGGCCTGCCGTGACCCGCCCTGCCCTCAGGTCTGGCCTCCCCACAAGAACCCAGAATTCCTTTTCCGTCTCTCGGCCTCTGCACTTGCTGTCCCCGGCCCCTACCCACTCCCTTATCTAGACCTGCAGGTTGCTGCCTCCTCCAGGAAAGCTGCCCTCAAGCTCCACCCCAGCCCAGGCTGATGGAGGCCCTTTCACCATGGACAGCAGCTGCCCACATCCCGCCCATTGCCCCAACTCAACTCTGAGCCCTCACTGACCTCCTGCCTGAAAGCAGCCACTGACAGCCTGGCGAGCCCCCTGTCCAGCCCAGAGCCCAGCAGGCCGGGACACTCACAGGCGAGGACACGCAGGCTGGGCCAGACAGAACGCGGCAGCCTGGGCTCTGACCCGGGGACGGGGTAACAGCTGGCTCCTTCCTCGGCCAGGGCCACTCTTATAAGTGACACACGGCCTCCCACGGGTACCCCTCTGAAGGGCAGGTGACCAGGGTCTGTCCACAGGAACACACGTGGGGGGTCACACTCCCTCCCGACACACACCCAGAGGATCCCACGCCCCCCACGCTCCAGCCCGCCTCCCCGTGGTCCCCGGTATCATGGACCCTGTGGCCGCCCTGGGCTCCTCCTCGGCCGGCACTGACCACTCCCTGCCCCAAGCTGCCCCACACTCTCGTCCTCTGATAACACAGGTCACAGGCTGAGGGGGCAAAATTGATCATCGTCTGGAGAAAGCGCTGTTCTCGCTGCATTTTCTAGGAATGCGCGCTCCGCCCTGAGCGTGGCCCTCACTGCTTATTTCCGGCACATGTCTGCATCCCGGAAGGTCCCAGCTAACAGAAACCCGCTTCGGCTGGGGAGGAGCAGTCCTTCCCTCCACCCTGCTCAGGGCTGCGTCCCCCGCAGCACCCCAGGCTCGCGGAGCCTGGCCGGCACCACCCCGGGCCTGCACACAGACCCCCTCCTTCCAACCGCACCCCAGGGGCCGAGGAGGAAACTGAGGCTGCGGGGGTGGGGGGGGCGGGGTCCTGACGTCACACAGCTGTGGGCAGGTTCTCCGGGTGCAGACTCCCCTCCTGGCCCCCAGACCCCCCTCTCCCCACCGCACCCCAGGGGCCGAGGAGGAAACTGAGGCGGGGGTGGGGGGGGGGGCGGGGTCCTGACGTCACACAGCTGTGGGCAGGTTCTCCGGGTGCAGACTCCCCTCCTGGCCCCCAGACCCCCCTCTCCCCAGAAGAGGGCCGGGCGCAGGCGGGAGGGTGCAGGCCAGTTTCTCCTCGGGGGGAGCAGGCCCTCCACCGGGAGCAGAATCCAAACCCGTCCGACTGCCGGGACGACTATCTCTCGATCGCATTTCTCAACCCAGCCCCGAGCGAGCGAGCAAGTGAGCGATTACGAAAGGCAGGCCCGGGGACCAGATAAGGAGGCGCGGGGGTGCGGGCTGGGGGCTGGGGGCAGACTTTTGTTTTGCTTTGTTGTGTTGTTTCTTCCCCCGCTGCACTCTCTCCGCTCCCCAACCCTCCCCGGGGCTTCCTGGGGTGCCCCGCGTGAGGTGTGGGCCTGAGGTTTGGGGCCGCCTGCAGGGCGGGGAGGGAGGCAGGTGAGGGGCCCCAGGAGACGCCCTCCAGCAGGGTGGGGGCCAAGCGGGGGCCCGGCGAGGGGAGGCCTTTCCCAGCCGCGTGGGCACAGGTGCGGCCGCCCAAGCTGTGACCACGCCCCAGCAGGACCCCGATAGACTCCACCCTTCCCGCCTGAAGCCCTGCAGTGTCTGGCCCAAGAACCAGTGAACAGGAGCGTGTACCCCTGGGCCGGGCACTCAGGGCCTTCAGCTGGGGGCAGGGAGGCCCCAACCCCACCCGGCAGGCCCCCACTCTGCACAGGGGCCACTCTCCTCGCAGGGCTGTGTGCCCGGCACCCCTGCCTCCCCTTGGACCAACCTCCAGGGAGTCATACCCAGCACCTCGAATCCAGCCCAAGGCCAGGTCCAGGGACCCCAGGCCCCACGGCCACGTGAACCAGGCCGATCCCACCACTGCCCAGAGAACCAGCAAGGCAGCAGCACTGTATCCTGCCCACGTCAGCGACCAGAAGCAGGCTGGGGCAGAGTGGGTTAAGGAACTTGCCCACAGGCCCGCTGCTCCCGAGTGGGGCGGCCCACAGAAGCCTGACACTACCCCCAACTCGGGACAAGTCCAGTCAGCTGGGGTGGAGAAGCTGGGTGAAGACAGGCCACCTCCTAAGAAGGACCCCAGCCCTCCAGGGGAGGCAAGGGAAGGTGCAAAAGCCAGCAGGGTCCATGCTTCGGGTCAGCAGGGAAAGGAGACTTGGTCTGAGCCAGTGAGAGCTCTGGGGGACCCTGCTCTGGCTCCCCGTGGACACACGACCCTGCCCCTCTTCAGGGACATCAAAGCCCAGCAGCCAACCCAGACCTCACCCCCCTCCCCAACCTAACTGCGGTCAACTCCGCAGCTTCCCGCCCCCGCCACCACCAAGGGCTTATGGGACACCTGGGAGCAGCCCAGCCGCTCCCAGCCTCTGCCCCCCTGGGACTAGATCGCTGCAAAGCTTTCCAAAAAATGCAGACTCCAGGGCAGAGCAGAGGCAGGGCCTGGGAGGGACTCCGGCACAGCTGCAGGTTGCACAAGGGCCAGGCCCCTACCTGCCTCCACCGCGTTCCAAGGACCCGCCGCCCTTCAGGCCGGGGAACAGGGCGAGGGCGGAGGCGGTACCACCCCCCCGGGGCAGCGAGTAGGGGTCCAGGCCTCCCCGGCCTCGGGCACTCGCCCGCGCCACGGAGGACCCTGCACACGCCGCCCCGGGCAGCCGCCACCCCGTCCCTTCTCTCCCAGGCTCTGCTGGTCCCCCCCGAACTCTGGGCCTCCCCTCCCCACCCCACCGGAGAGTGAAGCCCAAACAAGCGGAGATCAGAACCGAAGCGGACAAGCAGCAGGGCCCGAGCCGGCCGTCCGAGAGCCCCTCACCTCCCCGCCTCCCACGGCCAGATCCGGAAGCGGGTGGGGGGCGCCCGACGTCTCCCTGACCCACAGTGAGGGTCCCACTTGCCTTCATCGTCTGTCCTCTGGTTGACAGGGTTCCCAGCCCCCGCCTGGCCCAGCCCCCCAGCCACTGCTCCCACTGACCCTGGGGACCCACAGCCCCCTAGGGACCTGGGCCTGCAGTTCCCCAGGTGAGGAAGAAAGAGCCCCGGGGCAGAGACAGGCAGAGGGGAGCCAGGCACGGTGTGGGGCAGTCCTGACTGCAGGAAGCGCGGCCCCAGCCACCCTGAACCCCAGAGGCCAAGAAAGGACGCACACCCCTCCTTCAATCACAGGTCCCGGCGCTTCTGGAACAGACCCAGCTCTTGAGCTCCCTGAGGGCAGGGGAGCCAGCCCCGGGAGTCCCCCTGGTCCAGACACCCCGCAGCCCTGGGGCAGGCCCCCCGACTCTCAGCGGACACGTCCTGGTGGCCCCAGTCCCTGCAGGCCCATGCTCATTGCTGGCCTGGAAGGCCCACGGGCGCTGGCAGGGGAGTCAGAGTGCACAGGCCTGGGGGACGGAACGGGAGCCAAGATCAGGGACTCAGATAAGCATCGCCTGAGGAGCGAGGAGGGCCCGGGGCATGGCCTGACCCAGATCTGAGACTTTCAGCTACAGCAGAGCTCCCGAAGATGCAGATCTCCTGGGAACCACACACACCCGCCCCCGCCACACGCACGCGCACGCACACGCGTGCACACACGCATGCACGCACACAGCTACAGGAAGGGCACCGGGAGCTGCTGGCCCAGCTGCACGTCAGCGTCACCCAGGGCTGCTAGGGAGCCTGGCTCCAAGGCTGCCGCCCTCCTTGGGCTAGGCCCTGGTCCGGACACCGCAGTTCTGAAAGCTCCCCTCTTTCAAAGGAGGGCAGCCCGGGGCGGGGACGCCCTAACTGGGTCAGGGCTACAGCTAACTCAGCCTCACACTTCACTGAGCCCACAGGCCTTCTCACGCCCGGCCGACCGCTCAGGGGGGCAGACACAGAGTAACTCGCGGCGGCATCTGGCTGCAAATTCTGCGTACGCTACAATGACGAGAGGCATGGCCGTGTCACTCTGCTCCTGCGGAGACAGCTCAGCTCCGCCAGCTGCGGACGACGGCAGAGCGCGGGTCACAACGGCCCACGCCCTCCTCCCCACGGCCGCGCCTTCCCGAGGCCCCAGGCGGCCACGGCCAGCCGACCAGGGAGGCCTGCGGGCAGGGCCAGCCTGAGTCCCTGCTCCGGGACCTCGAGACGTCTGCTCCCCAGGACGGCCCCAGCCCGGCCCCCTGCAGCCCCTTCGGGACCGTTCCCCGGCTGCAGGTGTAACTTCCTCGGGGCGCCCCCGCTGAGGCTTGGAGCCGGCTCACCCAGCCCTGGGCACCCATCGCCCTCCGCGGCCCGGTTCACCCAGCCCTGGGCACCCATCGCCCTCCGCGGCCCGGCTCACCGAGCCCTGGGCACCCATCGCCCTCCGCGGCCCGGCTCACCCAGCCCTGGGCACCCATCGCCCTCCGAAGGCCCCAGGAGGCTTCCAGGAGAAAAGGCCCTTCTCTGCCTGAGGCCAGGCGTCACTGCCGGACGGAGGGCACCGCAGCCCTCCCGCCCTGGGGAGGGATGGCAGGGGGACAGGGCAGACGACCCTCTGACCTGGAAGAGGCGGGCTGTGTCCAGGCCACGCCTTCAGGAGGACTGGCAAATGGACGCACCGGGGCACAGAGTCCCCAAGGAGCAGATGGAGCCCCCCGGCCGTCAGGGCCCTTCCACACGCAGGGGAAGGTGTGCTGAGGGCGGGTAGTGCCCTGGGCAGCCACGTGAATGGACGCCAGCCTGACGCCCCCGTGCGTGCTCAGAGGTACGCACGCACGCACGCAGCCCGGCCGCCAGGGCCCCCTCCGGCTCCGTCCGCCCGGCCCGGGACCTCCCACACCCAGGGCCGTCAGAAACTCCACCTTGTGGGGACATTCACGAGCACCATTCCAGTGGCCTTTAAATCATCTAAGAAAATAAACACGGCTCCTTCCCAGCTAAGCTCGTTTCCTGAGGCCCCAAAACTCCAGGTGCAGCCCGCCCCCCCAGCCCGTGCAGTGCCCCCAGGGACATCCCCCAAGAGACATCCTCCAAGGCGGCGGGCACCCTGCTCTCCAGGAGGACCGTGCCCGATGCGAGGGCCCTGTCCACCCCCCACGGCGTTCAGGGGAGGCTGAGGAAGCTGCCCCGAGCCAGCCCTGCCCTCGGCCCCTCAGACGACCCCACGACACCCGCACCCCAACTCTGCCTCGCTGGGGAAACCGCCGCTGAGCCGGGCGGGAGCCGCCGGATGCAGCCAGGGCACGCGGCGCCCAGCGCCTGCCGGCAGCCGGGGATCAGCGCCGGCCCCGCCAAAGGAAAACACGAGGCCCGGCAGAGGGAGGCAGGAGGCTGGGTGGTCCAGACGCGCCGCCGCACACAGCCTGCTCCTGGCGGGCCGCCACCTCTGCCCGCCGCCGGGCAGGGGCACAGCGGGGAGGAGCCGGGCAGCTCTGCCCAGCGCCGGGCCGTCGTCCGCGGGCCCGGAGGGGACCCCTGCTGCCACCCTGGGGCCCAAGACACACCCGCGGGCCCCGACGCAGCCCAGCCCCTGCCCTCCTGGAGTGGCACTGTCGCCCACGTCCGGGCTCCCCAACAGCCAGGGAGGCCTGGGGGCTCCCCGACCCCAGCTTGCCAAGCACCCAGCACATGCCCGGGCAGGCCCAGGCCAAGTGGCCCTGGAGCCCAGATCTGTCCCCACCGCACCCAAGCGCCTCGTGTCACACAGTGGCCCTCGGGACCAGCGGAGCTCCCCCCGGCTCCCACACCAGGTCTCCTGACTCAGCCCCAGGTGCGCCCATCCTGACCCGGAACACCCGGAGCCAGAGTCTGCACCCCCAGCCCCACACTCAGGCCAGAGTCTGCACCCCCAGCCCCACACTCAGGCCAGAGTCTGCACCCCCAGCCCCACACCCAGGCCAGAGTCTGCACCCCAGCCCCACACTCAGGCCAGAGTCTGCACCCCCAGCCCCACACTCAGGCCAGAGTCTGCACCCCCAGCCCCACACTCAGGCCAGAGTCTGCACCCCAGCCCCACACTCAGGCCGGGACAACCCCACAAGCTCACACCAGACACAGCCCCACCAACACATGCCTGACACACACACTCCCCACCAACACACACCTGACACACACGCCCCTCACCAGCACACACACCTGACACACACTCAGCCCGCCAACACACGCCAGACACACACTCCCCACCAACACACGCCAAAAGCCCCCCGCCTGGCCAGCGCCGCAGCCCCCACAAATCTCCGAGGCCCCCCAACACACCCACCCTGACAAATCCTGCTGGGCACCGGTCATCCCTCGTTCGGATGGTTAAAAATCCATTCACGCAGCAGATTGGTCATTACATTCCGGCCTTAATTAAAGAGGGCCACACAGCGGCATTTTAAGCAGCAATGTCACTTTCTAATTGACAAGCCTCCATTATCGAGAAAAAGACTCAAATGGGGCTGAAACGGAGCCAACGCCCCTCCTCCACCCTCCCGAGGTGGGGGCCGATGGTTCAGCTTCAATTTTTAATCCACTGATGAAATATTCACAGGCCTGGGAGGGGATCACGTTTCTCAGGGCATCGGGTCCCTGCCACTATAGGGGCTTCTGAGCTGGGAGGGCACCGAGGTTGGGGTGACGTGGTCAGGGCGGGGGCTGGATACCTGCCCGCCCCCCCGCCAGCACAGTCCCATCGCCTGGGCCACACGCGCCTCCCTGCCCGGCGTCCTGCCCTGGGCCCACAGACCCCGACAGGGGGCAAGTCCCCGGAGGGGAGCAAGGGACCCAAGGCCACCAGCAGTGACCCCGACCTTCTGTTTCCGGTCCTGCCTTGTCTGGCCCTCCAGGGCCGGCCCGCCCCCAGAGAGTCAGCGCCTCCCCAGAGCCGTTGCGTCCTAAGGGGACCACAGAGGGCAGCCTCTGCTGCCAGCATCTGCTCCCAAGCGGGCAGGCAGACCTCACGGTGTGGACGCTCCTCCCGACCGCTGCGTCGGCTGCCGTTTTACAGGCGGGGATGCTGAGGCAGGAGGCCCTGGCGGCCCTCACGGGGCATCTGCCCACCTCGCCTGGGAGCAGGGAACGGCCAGCTGAGAACACAGATGAGGACAGGGGACCCGGGACCCCGAGCCCCACTGCGACATGGCCCCGGGTGCCGTGGGGCGGGCAAAGCGCCGGGCCCACCTCCCTCCCGCCTGCCTCCCGACCCAGGAGGAAAACATCCGGGATGAGCTACCGCCCAGGGTGGGAGAGACAGTGAACAAGGCCACCGTGCAGCCGGCCAGGCGCCCACATGGCGACCCCGGCTGCAGGTCTGGGAACGTCCGCCGGCCACATGCCCGCTGGGCCTCCAAGGAGGAAGACTCTGCATGGAAACTGCCAGACTCCAAGAAGCAGGAGCCCGCGGCAGGCGGCCCCCGGGGGGCCCCGGCCACCTACCAGCTGCCAGGGGCCTCTGCTCCGCCCAGCTGCAAGAGCAAGACAGGCAGTCACCTCCACGAACGAGGGGCCCGAGGCTCGGAGGGACCAGGGCGGGCAGGCGGGGCAGGCCGGGGTCTCTAACCGCAGCAGTGCATCTGACCCTGCACCCCAGGGCAGGCAGATGGGGCAGGCCGGTGTCTCTAACCCCTGCACCCTGCCGTGCCCACCCCCGAGGCTCCCAGGGGCCCGTGCTCTCCACCAGCCCACCTCCGCCGCAGCAGGCAGCATCCACACATCCTGCCGTGCGAGCTGACACTGACCAGCTGCCCAGCCAGCCTGGACAGGTCATTTAATCACAGCCCGCGATCAGCACGGCATCTCCTGGTATCATTGGGCAGGCGCGCCCGCCCGGCCATCTGGACACCCACCCCTCCTGACCCGGGGCCTGCGCGTACCCTGGACAGAGGCGTGTGCCCAGGGAGGGTGGCAGGGGTCCCGCACGGCAGGAGGGGGCAGCGTTCCCAGCAGAATGCTGGCGTGAGTCCCCGCCCGAGCCCCCGAGCCAGCCTCAGCGCCCTCCTCCAAGAGGCACGGCCCCCTCCCCAGCACCCCCAGAAGGCCGCAAGTCCCTGTCCGCTGGCTCCTCCTCCACCAGGAGGGCACCCCCACCCCAAGCCCACCGAGCCCTCCCCCAGGCAGGGTCACTCTCTGCCCAGAGCCGCCCTGCCCAGGTGTCCAGGCACAGCATCATTGGCGGGGGGACAGCCCCAGGTCCAGCCAGGCCCTTCTCCTAGGAGAGCCTCCGCGCAGGCTCTCCAGGGCCAGGGCAGGACTCAGGGGACCCCCATCCCCGCCGTGAGTGCAGGGCCGACGCGAACCCACTCGTCAGCCCCTCCCTCAGCGCGGGCACTGCCTGCACCGCTAGTGACAGAACTGGGTCTCGGCCGACACGCCAGCCCCTACCCAGAGCCACTCTGCCCGTTGGCGCAACACAGCGCCTCCCAGGGAAGCTGCGGAGCTGGAGTCTGGGGTGAAGCCGGGCTGACGTTCCTGAGGTCGGGAGTCAGCCGGCGTTTCGGGGCCACTCTCAGGATTCTGCTCTCCCCACTCAGGTCCCGGCTGCCCCCCACCGCGGTCGTCAAGCGCCCAGGCCCAGTGGGACGACCCCGGGGATGGACCTCGGGACAGGGAGGGGGTGCAGACGCCATGCAGGAGCGCCCCCACCCCAGAAGGCAGGCCCACAGCCAAGACGGGGTCAGCGGCCCCCGGGGCTCAGCCAGCAGCACCGGGCTCCCCCAGCCCTGACCCAATGACCTGAGGCAGGGCCTCCTGGAGCCCTCCACCCTCAGCGAGCACCCCCCGCCTCCCCCGGGAGGATGCTGCCAGCCTCCACCCCCTGGCCAAGGCCACGCCCCCCATGCCAGCGAAGGCCGAGCCGACACCCCGCCGCCTGCCCCCACCCTCGAGCCCCAGGGTCGTGCTAACCAAATGACGCACCAAGGACACCCCACGCTCTGACCACAGGCCCCAGGTCCCCAGGCTTCAGCCCCAGCCCGGGTCAGTGTCCCCAGGTCCTCCCGCCTCCACGCGACCCCATGCAGCCCAACCGACCGGCCGGGACTCCACCCTCCCCACCACGCCCCACAAACAGCACCCTCTGTCATGCCCAAGCCTCACAGGCACCCCAATTCCCAGAGAACCTCAACTCCCATAGAACCCCAATTCCCAGAGTGCACCCTGATTCCCAAAGAAACCTGACACCCAGAGAACCCCAATTCCCAGCGGACACCCCGATTCCCAGGGTCTCCAGTCCTGGTCTGTGGGATATGGCTCTAACCACAGCCCAGCACCACCACGCCCCCACCCCCAAGGCCACCAGCTCTCGGGGGCTCGGGACCCCACCCTGACCTGGGGCCCTGTCTCTGCAGCAGCAGGGCTTCCCATGGCAGCCCCCCGGCTCTGCCCCCCACCCACCGCACTGCCGTCAACCCAGGCCCCTGCGCTGACACTCCTGGGCCAGCCTCGCCCCCACCCCGGGGCCCCTGGACGGGCTGCCCCGAGGCCCCCCCAGCGC